ATGATATTCTCAGAGTTTGTGAGGTTTTGTTTTGTTGATTTTTGGCATACATACACACAGTTGTTCCAACATAATTTATGGACAATATAGTCCCTTTCCACTGACACTCATTTAAACAGTTGACTATTTGTGTGGCTCTATTTCTGAGCTCTGTTCTGTTCTGTAGTTCTTCTGGCCTCTTCTTCCATCACTGCCACACTGTCTTTGACCACAGTTTGTATTCTTTTAATTCCTGCAGATCATTAGTGTCCATCCTCCACCTTTGTTCTTCTTCAGTACCATGTTGACTGCTCTGGGCCTTTTGGGACTCCATATAAACTTTACAATCAGTTTTTTAACATCCACAAGACAACATTCTAGAATCCTGATTGGGACTGCACAGAACCTCTAGCTCAAGTTGGAAAGAGCTGGCATCTTACCAACCTTGTGTCTTCCAATCCATGAACACAACACCTATTTCTAGTTCATTTTTTATGTTATTTAAAATTTTTGTTTTGGATAACAGAACATAAGATGGACAGAAGTAGCCATTCTGCCAGCGACTCAGACGAGATCATAGACAAATCCTCCCTTTCCATATATAATTTACAAAAATAAGAAAGGGGCAAATGTTTGGCTTCCTGTGAATGAATAAGGAAACAGGAGCCCTTTTGATGTTTACGCTGAGCATTTACTCTATTAAAAGGACTACTCCAGCTTTTAAAAAACTCTCAAGAAATTAGTATTTATGTGTAGTTGTCTTAAATACACAAAGAACAATGAGTAAAATCTGAGATCTCACTTTAAAAAGCAAGAAAATATAAATTTCATTTACTCATCATTAGTTAGGCCAACAATCCATGACTGAATTTCACTAAAATCTAATTTATTTCAGCAAACTAGAGCGTGGCTGCTACTAACAAAATGAAAAAGAGAGCTGAAACAGTTCTTGTTATATTTGGGTCAAAAAAAGTTTGATCTCAATTTTCTAGGTCATTTAGGTAGAATTTGGGTCTAGGAATGAAGGACCCAGTAACTACTTTATCTCAGTTTTCTGTGATAGAAAATAAGTACACATGAAAGCACAATCTGAATCAGTTGTATTAATAATGAATATATATTAGCTGTTTATTCATTCATTTAATCCATGAAAGTGTGTTAAGGATTATATGTCAGGCACTACTATAGGCACAGAGGAGAGACACATCCTAAAACAAAGCAGGGAACAGGGAGGAGGCATGGACTGTAGGCCGCGGTTTACCTGGCGTGGTGGAAGAGAGCTTCCCAAAAGGTGAGAGTGGGTCCCGTACAAATCTAAAGGATGAAAGAGGCAGAGCCACACAAACATTGGGAGGAGAGGCTTTCCAAGCAGACAAGAGCCAGTTGTGGAGTCCAGGGAAGCGATGACTAAATTACTAGAGATGGAGAAGTGACAAGAGATTGGCTTGGAGGTATTTTTGAATGCAGAAGCAACAGGATTTAAGAGTGGATTTTGAGTGAGGTGTGGGAGCAGGATGGAGTCACTCGGGAGGTCTATTTAACTTCAGCAGCCGACATACAAATCTAAAAGTGACCTCCTAACTGCCTCTGCCTCCCCACGACAGGGAATAGGGAGCATCCAGCGCTGTCTGCACTCACTTATTTATCTTTATTATTTTCTTCATTTCTCATAAGTGTCCATTTAAAAGTGTTTAATGCCAGATGTGGTGGAGCATGCCTGTAATCCCAGCACTCGGGAGGCTGAGGCAACAGGATCATCGCAAGTTTGAGACCAACGTGGGCTACAAAATGAGCTCAAGGCCAGCGTGAACTGCATAGTAAGACACTGTCTCAAAAAGACAAAAAATTAAAAATAAAAAAAATAGTTATACATGTATATGTTTATTCTAGAGAATTTAGAAAATCATGGAAATAAGCAGGACAAATAAAAACAACCCTTTCCCCACCCACAGGAAACCACTATTTTGTTCAGTGTACTTTTCCAGACATATGCAAATGTACACTTATATATAAGATTGTACTTTAAAAATGATACCAGGGTGACAGTGTATATTCTCCTTTATTACCTTCTACCCATCTAGAGAACAAACATCTTTACCTGGTCTTCTCATCGACTGCACTCTGGCCTCCTTGTCTCCTACTGTCTTCATCTGTGACGGCGGCCATAACAAAATCCTTAACCAGGGTTCTTAAGTGACAGAAGTTTATTTCCTCTCATTTCCGAAGGAAAGAAGTCCAAGACCCAGGAGTCACAGGGGTCTGTTGCCTCTCGGCTTTCTTTCTCTATCTGGTAGATAATCACCTTCTTTCTGTGTCTCCGCATATCCTTCCTCTCTGCACCTAGGAGAAAGAACACTCTGGGGTCTCTTCCACTTCTCTTAAGTACACGGATCCTACCAGAAGAGGTCTCCACCCTACGACATCACTTAACTTGAAGTATCTCCCTAAAAGCCTGTCTTTAAATATAGCCATGAGGGCGTGGGGGACACAATTTAATGTGTACATCCACTCAAAATTATGCTTAAGATTAAATCAGAATCAGAAAATTATTTATCATTTTAAAATACAAAACTAATAAATCAATATTTATTTTCTACTTTCATCTGGAAATAGGCATTTAATCATCTGTTAATTGGATTGGATTAGTGTTCTTAAAAGTGTCTTTGCATCCCCAGCTTTTTCCACTATGCTATGATTTTAGAACTGAGACTCCTTGTTGGTTGGTTGGTTGGTTTTTTAACAGGATCTTTCTATGTAATTCAGACTGGCCTTGAACTCATGTGAATCCTGGACTGGCTTTGATCTGTGGTATCATTCTGCCTCAGCCTCCCAAGCACTGGAATTATAGACACGTCCCAGTGTTGAGGACTCCACTGAACTGGTAGTTCCTATATCTCATCTGCTGCTGAATCTCTTTCCCACGTGTTTTCCTTGAATGTCAAGTTCGCCTAGGTCTAAGGCCAGTCTTTGCAACATTAAACTCAGCTGAAAGTCCATTTTCACTCTAATTCCTTTGAACCAAGTGGCTGCCCTCTTGCTTCCCATATCTAACAGTAACTGGCTCATTCCTGAGGGAAAACCATCACTAAAGTGCAATTGCCCTTCTCTCCGTCCACAACTCTCCACTAGATCCTGCTATGAGATAAGAGAATTTAATTTTCTACTCACTGAGAGTTTACCTGTTTCCCTATCAAGTAATCTAAAAAAGGCAATTTGAACAGATTCACTGTTCCTCCTGTAAGTACAAAGTTCTTAAAACTAATATGAGAAAGACTAACATGGGCAAGAAGATGAGTCCTGGTACAGATATTTGTGCCCTTTCTTTTCCCTCTCCACCAGCTGACCAGGAAGGTCACATACAGATAATAGAGACAGCTGCTGGTTTGTAACAGACACCACTGAAAGAAGATAACCGTGCTAGGAATTTTGCTAGGGATGCAGGAAGAAGGCAGGAGTTTTCACAGTGACCCAGTTTAGCAGATGACACACCCATGAGACACACCCATCCTTCAGAGTGCTCCAGCCCTTCCCACCACTGGCCATTTCTTCTATTCAGACATCAGCATCCTTCTATCTTTCTGTGCCCTTATATCCTGTCAGGCCCCCGTGGCTCTCCGCAATCCCTTGCACCAGCTCTTGGAAACTCTTGTCCAGAGACTTGTCTCTCTACCCTCTCTTAGCCTACCCAGGCCATGGCTTGAGGGCAGGCATGTCACAGGCCAAACAGTTGATCCTGCTGCTTTGCTACATACTGTATTTCCTCCTCCCCACTGACCATGGGGCAGATGCTCAGGGTACACCGTCCTAAGGAATGGGCCTTCCCCGGAGCCGAGACTTGCCCGCACCCTGCCTTTAGACTGTCCAGCCTCCATAACTGTAAGAAAGAAGTGTCTGCTGTCTATAATTTACCCAGTCTATAGAAATATTTTTATAGCAAAGCAAACACTGTAAGACACTGCCCCCATCCACACTGTCTGCTCCCTGTTTCTTAAGTCTCAGTGCCCGAGTACTGTGGGTTCTCCCCACATGCAGGACACTCTTATCTTACATGTTCACATGGCTGTAGCTGCCCTATGACTTCCTTCAGGATTCTGCTTAAATGTCATAGTCTCGGAGAGGCCTTTCTTGAGTAAACTGGCATCCCCCAACTCCTAATGCTCTGATTCTGTATTTTCTTATGAGGATACATTATGCTTTTGTATGTGTTCATTGTCTGTCTCCTCCACTTGAATGTGTGCTCTGCTAAATCAGAAGTGATCATCTTCTTTGCTGGACCCACCAGCTTCTGCAGGGTGTATGGGATAGGTGTCCCATCAGTACTTGTTGGTTGCTAAATGAAAGAGCAGAATATTATGGAAAACTCAAGTGTCAGGAATAGTCACAATAATTTTGAAGAAGAGGAAGTTCGGGCTGGAATTGGGAAGCTACCTCTGTACGATGTTGAGACATTATAAAGCCATAGTCATTCAACACAATGTTGTAAACTCCCATATAGCCATTCTAAGAAAGATCCCCCTAGAGAATAGTTTCAATCAGGGAGTGAACCAAGCAAATGGATAGAGGAAAAGTCATGATCCATAAAAGGGGAGAGAAGAAACCAAGCATAGGAAACAAGAAAGGAAGGGAAATGGAATCCCCAGATGGTGGTGGGTGAGGACCCAAGATGACAGCTGGGGCAGCCCATCCCAATTGCAACAGGATGGACTTTTTCAAGAAGATTAAATGAATAGGATGACTGATGTGGGTAGACACTGTAAGAGGCAACTTAAGCAACTGTAGATAGACTATGACATCAGATTCCTTAAAAGCAAGTGAACAAATAACAAGGCTCATAATAATAGCTCTAGGAAAAGGCTTGCTACAAAAATTTTATTTCTCACATGAATAGCATACATTGGAACAGCCATGTGATTGTAGTTTTACTCTGAGAAAAATCATGCTGGAAGAATGACACAGTAAGACGGGCTAATGTCTGACCATTTTGGATGTTCTTCACTCCAGAATTTCAAGAATTATCTGGGATGGCCCTGAATCAAAGCTGGCAGTTTTCTAAAGCTGTTGCTTTCAAGCAGGAGCCTAAAATGGTATCTTTCTATGATCTGTTGGCCATTTCAAAGCTTTGGAAATGTAATGGTCAATTCATTACAAAGAAACAACTCACCTTCCCTCCCCCATAAGCTCACTATTTCAGGCCAGGAGGAGACAAAGCCACACCCCTGGGGTTCCACTGCCATCAGGGGAACATCCATGAGCAGCCACCCTGCAACTCCCCCCACCTGGGGAACCTTGAATCGGAGAAACCCAGGTGCCTAACCCAATTCCCTGCACTGCCAGACCGGCAGCCAGTACAGAAATCACCCAGGACTCAGCAACTGATGATTCAGAGGAATACAGAAAAGCATCAAGACAAAAGAGCAGGGCGCCATCTCAAACATCTAGCCCATCCAGAACAAATCCAGAAGGCATAGACACAAAATAAATTAGAGGTCACATACCTGAAATTCCTGAAATGATAGCAACTGAAGTAAAAAGACAACTTAGTGCTTATACTGTTTAATTAACTTTGCATGCCTATATCTCACTCAAAACAAGTCCAGGAGACATAGACATAGAGGAAATAAAAAGCCACACACCTGAAATTTCTGAGATGATAACAACTGAAGTAAAGAGACAACTTAGTGTTTGTGCTGTTTGATTGACTTTGCATACCTGCCTCTGGTGCTCTGAGCATCTATTTAGAGGATAACAATGTGCATTACAGTAACTACTGCTGATTTTGTACTGTCTTGTTTTTGAAATTCAGTATTATTCCCATTGTTTTGCTTTGTTTCATTTTATCATTTTGTTTTATTCTCCTTAAAATAAAAGAATTATCTTGGCATGCTATCAACCTTCCTCCTTGCACTCCTGTTTCAACAGATTCCAGTTGTCCTTATGAAAGGCCAATAGCCCATGCATTTCACCAATGCATTTTGCTGATATCATTGTTTACCAGTCTTGTTATACTGCACTCCTAATTCTACCTTTGCTTAAATTCTCAGATTCTTAGGAAGATCTGGGAGTGATAAACTCTGTGCCTGTGCGTATGGAAGCATCTTAGCTACATTCCCCATTCTCGAGTGGGAGTTTAATTGCATAGATTTCTAGATCACAGTGATTTGCCTCAGCACTGTGATGAGTTGCTTTACTTCAGCCCTGATTTCTGGCACCTTTCATTGCTTGCAGAAGTGGACAGCCGGCCTGCTTTTTCTTTTTTATGATAACTTGTTTTTTCTCCTGGGAAGTCTCTTAGATTTTTCTCTCTCTCAGGCTCTGCAGTTCTATTATTTTTGTGTCTAGGTACAGGATCTTGTGCATCATCAGTCTTGCTAGAGACCCGGTGTTTACTTCCAATTAAAAGATGGGAAGATTACTGTCTGTCTTTAAGCCATAAAATTCTTCTAAATATTGACTCTTGATTTCTACTTCTTTAAACCCTATTGGGTGGACACTAGAGCCTAATAATTCATCTCCACAATCTTGATCTGTGTGTGTGTGTGTGTGTGTGTGTGTGTGTGTGTGTGTGTGTATATATATATATATATATATATATATATATATATATGACCTACATTCCAGGTCACTTTCCTGGGGTATCTTCATTTTTTTTTCTTTTTTCTTTTTCTTTTTTTGGTATTGGGAATGGAATTCAGGACCTTGCACTTGCCAGGTAGGCACTTGTGCTACTGAGCTATATCCACAGCTTTTCCAATTATTAAATTCTCTTATAAGTGGCATCTAGCCTAGCATGTACCCAACATATGTTGTAGTTATTATTTAAATAACTATTTTTTTCCTTTCCATGGTTTGTAATGGGCTCTTTATTAAGTCTCTATCTGTTTGTGATGATAGAGGTAATTTGTTAAGTATCTACAAGGTGCCAGGCACCTTTCTAGGCTCTGAGGACTCTAGAATATGAAATACAGGAGCATATGCTCTCCTTCAATTAAAATGAGGAAATGAGTAATAAATATAGATAAATTTAAATAGAGAGTATATGGTAGTAAGTGTTGTGGAGAAAACAATAAAATCAGGGAGGGTACAGAGAGTGAGGGCTTCCCTTACAGGTGGGAAAAGAAGAGTCCTGTGACCCAAGCCTTCATTTGGGGACTAAGGTCCATAGAAAGGATGGTACTGTGTGTCTCTGAATGGTCATGGTGGAGAGGTGGGAGTCACGCAAGAGGAAATGGGAGAGGAATGGGGGTCTTGCCTGGGGACTCACAGGACTCCTAGCCAGTGTGCATATGGGTTTCCCTGGTCAATTCTGTAGACAGAGGTAGAGGCCAGGAGAAACCAGAAATTGGAGACAAGTGGACCATAGTCCACAGTGTCCTCAGCAGGACACTCAATAGTGCCAACTTTTCAATACTTGTGTTTTTGGTTCAAAATTTTTTGTGCTCACTTTATGAGTGTTATTACTTTACTTCTTTGCTGAGTCAAACATATTTAGGTTCTTTTCAGAAGTTGCCTCTATTATTTGAAGTGCTTCCAGAATTAATTGTTTTATTTTCCCAATTTGTTTGTGGCCCTAAATACCAATCATTTGAGTCCTGGGGACGGGAGGGATCTCACTACAGAAGGAGACTGCAATGTGACAACTGAAGCGGATGCTATGCTGCTGGCTTTGAAGATGAGGGAAGGGACCAGAAGCCAAGAGCAGCTCCAGAAGCTAGAAGGAAGCAAGTGCATTCTCCCTAGAGCCTTCGTGTTTGTTATTTTTCTCTTGTTGCTGAGACAAAATATCCAACACCCAAAGTTAAAAGGGTACCAGTTTACTTAGCTCAGTGTGCAGAGGTTTCAGTCCATAATTGGCTGGCTCCAAGGCAGGATGGCATGGTGTTGGAGACTGCTGAAGCTGAATACAGTGCAGGGCTGTGGTGTGACCTGGGCATGACTGAACTGAGAATGGGGAGACACCTCAGGGGGCAAGATAGCCACGGGTGAGGCCACCTGGAGACTTTCAGGATAGTTTTTCTTAATTAGCGTCGTCTGTTGCTCTGAGGAGTCCTTGAACCCCTCCCAAGATCCTGTTCAGGTTTCCTCCATTGTCCACTCAACTCCTCGCTTGTGATTAAATACAGGCTGCCCAGGGTCAGTCCGCCAGTCAGCTAGCGGAGTTACGAGCTCTGCCAAGGATTTTAGTCTCCTGGAGCCCTAAAGAACATGCCTCTTGTCTCACTCCTTTAGGCCTTCGCCCTGCACCCTTTTGGAGGATTGGGGATCCAGGTACAGACCCCAACAGCATTGCAGATGAAAAACAGTTCATGGCAAGCAGAATGCAGCAATGCAACAAGGGACAACCACAATTCTTTCTATTCCTCATATCTCATCCAGCTTACTTAAGGCAGGTAGCACTTACACTCTTAATCCTGGTGCCCTTGATCTTAGCATCGCACCATGAATCAATCCCAGTGGCACAAACTCTAGATCCAACCACCTCTGAAAAAGCCCCACATTTGATTGCATGAGGCTTTGGGGGGACATTGACATACAAGCCATAATAGCCTTCTACCCAAGCACAGTTCTGCCCACACCTGAGTTAAAACCCATTGATTTAGAACTTCTGACCTTCAAGACTGTGAGACCATAACTGTGTGTTGATTTAAGCACCACGTAGTAACTTGTTACAGTACAATAAGAAACTAATATACAATTTAAACATTCTTGGGGGCTGGGGATTTAGCTCAGTGGCATAAGCACCTGCCTTGCAAGCAGGCAGTTGTGAGTTCGATCCCTGGTATTGATAAAAACGAAAAAGACAAAAATATATATATATACAAGTTAAACATTCTTATCTGAAAATCCAAAATCCCAAATGATCTGAAATCTGAGACTTTTGAACACCAGTATGATATAGTGATGGCACATTCCACACCTGACTGTATGTGAGAGGTTGCAGACAAAACTCAGATGCATGAAAAATATTGAATAAAATTACCTTGTATAAAATGAGCTCACGTGTCTAAAGTGTAGATGAACATAAGTTTCATATGTAGACTTTGATCCTATCCTGAAGACATTTCATTATATACATGCAAATATTTCCAAAAATGAAAAATCCAAAATTCAAAACACTTCTGATCCCAAATATCTTAGATAAGAGATGCTCAAACTGCACCTGCTTGTGAGCTTCTCTTCTTGTGATGGTGGATCTTTTTTATTATTACTGGAGACTGAACCCAAGGCCTTTGCTGAGCTACATTCCTCCAGCCCTTTTATTTTTTATTTTTATTTTGAGACAAGTTCTGGCTAAGTTGCCCCAGCTGAGCTCAAATTTGTGATCTTCCTGCATCAGCTTCCCAGAATGCCAGGATTACAAGTGGGCACCATATCTGGCTAGTGGTAGTTAATCTTGATCTTCAACTTCAGTGACCTGAGAGACACCTAGAAGATCTATAGACAGCAGATAGTAAAGTACCCTTTTGATGTGTCTGGGTAGGTTATGGGGGCATGAACTTGGGAATCACATATGGTCCCTGGCTCTTCTTCTCAGGCTTTTCCCCCACTCTCTGCTTCGATGATACCATGGAGTGAACAGTTCCCTTTACCACACCCTTCCACCGTGATACTCCTGCCTTGGAACCAGCATATCATGGACTGAATCCCCTTAAACTGTAAACCAAATAAACCATTTCCTCCTCCTTTAAGTTACGAGTGTCAGGTATTTTGTCCCAGCAATGGAAAACTAACTATCCCACTTTCTTGTGAGATTTTTAAACTCTGCAGTGTCACATACCCATCTTGAGCCACCACCTCCCTTCTCAGTGAACTTCTAGCTACGTTTCCCTCCCTGGGGGGCTTCCACCTGCTTTTACAGTCCCTTATCATAAGCCACCCTTATGATGTGTGTCAGTGTCACCCCGGAAGACACTGGCTTGCTTTTGGGTGATGGACTCTTACTTTCTCACCAGGATCTTTTCCGTATCTGTTCTTCACATTCCTCTTTGCTGAAGGCAGCAGTCCTCTTTTTCCCCAAATGCCCTTCTATCAAATTCTTTGTTCCCAACAGCTGGTCATTTTATCCAGCAGTGAACGTCTCCAGCGAGTGACTAACAAGCCTGTCCTAGGCGAGGGTGGGCCTCTCCTATGCGAGCATCTGAAGCGAGCTTTTCCTGTATC